TATATACTAAATGAAGCTAAAAAGACTCTTCAGGATGACAACTTTGTCACTTTTGGCCTTTCTATTTCAAAATTTGATGACCATATCTACTGTTTAGATTGTGCCCCCGAAATTATTTCAGCCCTATTCTGCAGGCGAGAATCTGATCCTGGTCGGGCCGGACCATAAGACTTGACGTATGAAACTCGGCGCATGAAAGGAATTGATCGCTGGATGAATCGTTGATCGTTATCTTTAAAAGGCTTAGGATGTCCGAGACGTGCAGCTTAGTATTTTTGGAGGAGTATCAATGGATGTTCTTCTCCTAAGATGTATATATAGAAATAACTGAGATGGTTCGTGTCTTTCAATGCCAGTGATCTTACTTTAAGGAGGGCTTGGACTAAGCAGTGGATTCTGTCTGTATTGGGGGGATGTATCGGAGTTTAAATATGAATGGCTGTGCAACTTCGGAATGTATATAAATACCTGACTATTTTAGGCTCGGAGATGGTTGATAGCGTAATGAGACTGATATAGATGATATTAATGTAATGGAATATGAATTTTATTCAATGCTCGATGTTGCTGTACGCTATTGGCTATTGTCACAGATTACAATCCAGTCCATCAGCGCTTCTGTGAGCACGACTTTATCCCACCACGGATGGTGATGGAGCGATTTCGTATGCTGGATTGTGATCATCACCAGTTTTTGGAGGAAAATGTGATCAAATAAGTATTCACTCCTGAATGTATCGCAATTTACCTATGTTGTAGGTATATGTGTAGTCGTTAAATCCACATGTGGTGAAAGGCACCAAATGACAAGTCACTGTAATAGTTAATAGTTAATAGTTAATAGTTAATAGTTAATAGTTAATAGTTAATAGTTAATAGTTAATAGTTAATAGTTACGGAGTACTCCGTACTATTAGTTCAATGGTCTAGGTCTACTACATAGTAAGTTAATAAGTTAATATATCCTGTTTCCTCCATATCCACCTCGGCCCTTTCCCCCGCTCAACTTCCTCTCTGACTCGCTCACTCTCTGACACTCTTCAACCGGATTCATCTTTATTATTCTCTTTATTCTTTATTCCTACTTCCTACTCTATCTCTTCTGAACATCTTCTTGAATGACATCCTCACTCCCTCCCTGGCTGTTCGCGATATGCCTGTGGATCAAATGCTCCACCTGAGAATTGACTGCCCTATGGACAATGTCGCTATGGCGATCACTCCTCCGGCCGAGAATGATTCGGATCTTGAGGACAAAATTGAGCCCGTTACCGGATCTTTGAGTCGCATTTATCGATTTACACCGTGAGAATCCCCCTTTAAGCCTTGAGGCCTTGAACCCTTGAAACACGTCGGATATGAAGAATTATTCCATCATTAACCCCTTCGCAGTAAACCCACTCTAGTATTAGACGGCACCCTGCGAGTCGTCGAAGTCTCCAATAGTCATGTGGAAGTCTTCAAGCGCTCACGAGCCCGTCTGTTGGCAACGAATGTCTACGATCTTCCCCCCTCCATCCTCCCCGCCCCCGACGTCGCATCTCTGAGTGGTGCCCTCGGTGCTGCCATATCAACTCGCGAAGTGCAGATCATCAAGCGTGTTCATGTGGCCAAATCCGATGCCTTATTTTCACTCAGCGTGACACCCATCTTTGAAGACGACTCCCTGATCTACGTACTGCTGGAAGCCCAGCGGACCAAACACCAACGGGACAGGTCGGACTTGATCAACGAACAAACCTATCTCAACGAAACCTACAAAATCCTGGTCAACACCGTGAGGGATTATGCCATCTTCATGCTGGATACGCGCGGCCATATTGCGACTTGGAATTCCGGAGCCGCGATTTTGAAGGGGTACACATCATCTGAGATCATCGGGCAGCATTTCTCCATCTTTTACGGGCGCGATGACCGCGAAGCGAAAAAGCCCGCCCGCGAGCTCGAAGTCTGTTTACAGGAAGGGAAAGTCGAGGATGAGGGCTGGCGTTACCGCAAGGATGGCACCCGGTTTTGGGCCAATGTCATGATCACCGCCATCTATCAGAATAGCAGCCATGTGGGATTTGTCAAAGTTACTCGCGACATGACCGAACGCCGCGCGACACAGGCCCGTTTGATCGACGCCTTTGAAGAATCTGCCAAGTCGAAGTCGGACTTCTTGGCCAACATGTCCCACGAGTTGCGTACCCCGATGAACGGAATGCTCTTGGCCTTGACAATGCTACTGCGGACCGAGTTGACCGATGAACAGCGGGAATTCGGGTGCATCCTGGAAGACTCGACCTCTATCTTGCTGCAGGTCATTAACGATGTGCTAGATTATTCTAAGCTATCGTCGGGAAGCTTCCCCTTGAATGTCGACGTTGTCAACATCCCCAGCGTGATTTCTGCCGTGGTTCGGAATTGTCAGTCGGCGCTCAAGCCTGGCGTTGAAATCATGGGCGGTGTTAGCGAAGGCTTTCCTCCAAGCCTCAAAGGCGACCCGCTGCGATTCCGCCAAGTTCTGCAAAATATGGTCACCAACGCAGTCAAATTTACCGAGAGCGGTCATGTTCGGGTTCATGCCACTTATGCCATTGACGAAAAGGACCCTGATATGTATGTGATTTCCACGCAGGTAGTGGACACTGGTATCGGCGTACCTGAAGATGCCACGAACACCCTCTTCACCCCCTTCACGCGATTCGCGGACACTGCTGCAAAAAAATACCAGGGTACTGGCCTTGGTCTGTCGATATGTAAGAGCCTCGCTGAATTGATGGATGGAACGGTCGGGTTCCATGCCAATCCCGATGGACCCGGTAGTGTGTTCTGGATGACGGCTAGGATGGCTCGCCTTACCTCGCCAGTGTCTTCAGCGAAGCAGAAGTTGCAACCGGATACACCCGAGGCATTGGATAATTCCGTCTCGCTCGAGCAGATCGCCCCGCAAAAGCACATCCTCCTAGTCGAAGACAACAAGGTCAACCAACTTATAATGTTGAAACTTCTCAGCAGCCTGGGTTTCAAGCGTGTCGATGCTGCCTGGGATGGAGCAGAAGCCGTGCGTATGGTCAAGCAGAAGCCTTTGACCTATAATCTGATCCTGATGGACATCAGCATGCCGGTCATGGACGGATTGACCGCCACAGAGCATATTCGACGGATGAAGGTCGATGTGCCCATCCTTGCATTGACGGGCAATGCCCTCAAGGGTGATGCAGAGGCATATCTGGCCAAGGGAATGGACGATTATATCGCTAAGCCCTTGCATCGGCAGCAGCTGGTGGATTTATTATGGAAATGGTGCGGACGCTGAGTGGTTGCTCATTCCAAACTGAAGGGTATCACAATGCCAGTTCGAGGCCGTTTTCGACGCGAACAAGGCACGGTAGTTGAAATAGACCCGTGTCAACGTCATGGGAGAGATTTGCGGTCGCACCGTCAGGTTGAGAATTTCCAACCGCCCCAATCCCCCGTCGATGCCGCAGAAGTGCCGCCATTTTCACCACCAAACGGACCTTTGAAGCGATGTCCCCACAATGCTTTGAGTTCTGGGAGTCCTGGGACTTCTTTCACATTGAGGACTCAGGTTCTCCGCTAATCATCTGCACCTGAATATCGACGGCAATGCCATCTGCCGAGTCGATACAGTTCCCTGCACATGACATGCCCCAAGAGCTATCATCTTTTGCTTGCATGACTTATGCCTGGAGAAGGCACATGGAATTATGTTTCTGCCACCGACGTTGCAACCATGCATCATTGGGTGGCTTTCTGTATCAACTCTAATACCACTCATGAGATCATCTCCCATATGCGGAGTTTAGGCAGCCGCTGGGTGAATGACAGTTGCGGTGAAAGGCTCGACGCAAGAACGGTCCCTTCGTAGCTTGGGGTTGGAATAGGAACCAATTCTTCCAATTAATTGTAAATTAGTACAAAGGTATGCCGGGTGCATAAGACTGGGCTTTCACCATTTTACCACATAGGCAAGTATCCCCAATAATTCCATCTGAATTTCAGGGAAAGATGATGCTTTAACATTAACAGTTCGGCTTTAAGATCGGGCCCTCAACAATTCAATTCCTCCAGTTTTGTTTTCACAACATTTCAGAATGTACTCCCTACTCCGTATAGCTTCTCCAACACCCGAAATGAGGGGATTTAGGGGGAACCAAGATCGTCGACCTCATTTCGGCATCTAAGGAGAAACCTTTCAATTATGATTCGACAGAGGCATTTGAAAAAATACCCTCTCCACACTTCCACCGGACACCCCCCGACGTCCAGGCTTAGGGTTACGGTAATAAAGTGCTAGTTGCATTTTCATCGCCTGATTGCGAGTCAATCCCTCAGGGGTAGTGTTATCCCGAGGTACAACACTGATGATCTTTCATTTTCACATGAGGTCATGGCTGTTATTATGTCGGACTGTAATTGCTGAGATTCTCTTCGGATTATTGAAAGGGACGCTGCTCTGCGAGTGAAGACAAAGATACGTGTTTCCAAATGTCTCGAATCTCGTCCACTCCATGAGTTGTAGCGAGCGCCATTTTCGAAAAGTCGCCGAAGAACGCAACCTCATCAGGGAAGAGATATACTCTCCGTGTCAATGATCTTCATATGGACCTCGTGTGACCTGCCTTAACCTTCCGAAAGGCGTCAATGTGGTCTTGCTCTTGTTAGATAAATGGCTCCGAGGAACACCACCCCGATGTTCAATCCTTAGGGATATACTTACGGCTAAGGCAAAGTTAATGATAGGCAGGATAAGCTCTATCCTTACCCCGTTTGATTTCCCGGGGTATTAGCATCATTGATCGACTGGCCGTCTTTCCTCTTGGGCGATCTGAGTCCAAATTAATGGTGCTTAACCCCGAAAGCCCCATTCAGGCCCACCTTGGAAGACAGGAGAAGCTATAAAGGATGTCTTGTCTGCCGCGGGTCTTTTTTTACTTGGTCCGCAAGTTTGAAGGAGGAAGCTGAATTGGCGAATTCCTGCTAGGACTATTACCATGAAATCATTCATTATGCTTTGTGCTCTGGCGGCCAGCGCAATGGCAGTGCCAACGGCTCATGATTATCAATTGCACGAGCGCCGCGATTTCATCCCCAAATCCTGGGTCGAAGGAAAGAAGCTCGACGGACATGTGTCACTGCCTGTGCGAATCGGGTTGACCCAGTCTAACCTAGACTATGGCCATGAGCTGCTTATGGACTTGTATGGACTTGCGCAACGGACCTCCCACGGTCTGAAACTAATATTGATCTGTTTAGGTCCAACCCCCACTCTAGCCGCTATGGTCAATATCTGTCCGTCAATGAAGTGCACGACCTGTTTGCTCCAACAGAAAAGAGTGTGGAGGATGTGCGTTCTTGGTTGGAGTCGGCAGGTATTGCAAAAGACCGTATCACGCAATCAACCAACAAGCAATGGGTCCAGTTTGATGCCGATGCCGAGGAGCTGGAGAATTTGTTACACACAAAGTACTATGTCTACTCACATGCTGAGACGGGCCGATTGCATGTGGCCTGTCGCGAGTATGTCGGTCATTTGAATTGGATCTACAGTCTCGCTGACCTCTGACCACAGATATCATGTCCCGAGCTCCGTGCGTGAGCACGTCGACTATATCACTCCAGGAATTTCTCTGCGGGAGGTGACTAGTGTTAGGAGATCGAGTAAGCAGAAACGTCTTGTGAATGGGATTCCCCCTATCCTTGAGCCGATCCTCCTACCGATTGAGGAGCTGCTCAGCGAGGCTCCGTCCCTTTGCTCCCAAGTCATTACACCCCAATGCATCCAACGTAAGTGATCTGAGTACAATGCCCACACATTGAATATCCTGACAGGCCTACAGAGATGTATAACATCAGTGAGGGCCACTCTGCCACAGAAGGAAATGAATTGGGAATCTTTGAAGGCATCGGGGACGTCTACGCGCAGGAAGATCTAGATTTGTTCTTCTCGAAATTGTACTCGTACGTTGCCTTTGTCATGTTCTATCGGGCTAATTGGATTTCGAACTGACACTGCTGCAGGACAATCCCCCAGGGCACACACCCCATTCTCAAGTCGGTTGATGGTGGCGAAGCTCCTACAGACACTTCCAGAGCTGGGCCTGAATCCGATCTGGACTTCCAAATCTCCTACCCGATTATCTGGCCACAGAATTCTATTCTTTTCCAGAGCGATGATATGCATTATGAGAATCATTATACCTTCCGTGGCTTCCTCAACACGTTCTTGGATGCCATTGACGGCTCGTACTGCAGTACCATCTCGCCTTTGGACCCTCCTTACCCCGATCCGGCGGATGGAGGCTACAAGGGCTCCTTGCAATGTGGCGTGTACGACCCACCCAAGGTCATCTCGATTTCCTATGGCTCCGCCGAGGCCGATCTCCCCATTTCCTATCAGCGGCGACAATGTGCCGAATTTATGAAGCTGGGTACAATGGGAGTTTCAGTGCTGGTCGCTTCGGGTGATTCTGGTGTGTCTGGACGTGGAGGCGACCCGACCCCTAGCAACTGCCTTGGTACAAATGGCAGAATCTTTGCTCCGGACTTCCCGGCCACCTGTCCATATCTTACTGCGGTGGGAGGCACCGAAATCCCCACAGGTTCCTCGCCAGGAGATCATCAGGAGCAAGCTGTCACTGAGATTCCCGTCAGGCGGCGGTTTCAGCAACATCTACAAGGCGCCTGACTATCAGGCTCAGGCTGTTGCTGATTACTTTGACAAGGCCCAGCCCTCATACCCATACTATGAGAGCGTGGACAACAGCAGCTTCGGTGAGAATAACGGTATCTACAACCGGATCGGCCGTGCCTATCCAGATGTTGCTGCCGTGGGTGATAAGGTCGTCATCTATAACCGGGGAATGGCCGTGTCGATTGGCGGGACATCGGCCTCCGCACCTGTATTCGCCGCAATCCTCACCCGGATCAACGAGGAGCGACTGGCCGCTGGCAAGTCCACTGTTGGCTTTGTCAACCCTGTATTGTACGCACACCCTGAGGCATTCTTTGACGTGACCACGGGCAGCAACCCGGGTTGCAACACTGATGGCTTCTCTGCGGCGAAAGGTTGGGATCCAGTGACGGGATTGGGTACGCCCAATTATCCTGAACTTTTGAGAGTTTTCATGGAGTAGAGTAGTTTAATATAGGGCAAATGTCACATTGGACACATTTAAGAAGGGGATATTCGATGTCGATGCAAGTTCTGTTAGAAAGCAAAAGTACGGTGATACCTGAGTAAATAATATAACGACACAGGACTATGATATTGTACCATTTCTTGACACTCGGAGCGATCGTACCGAAGCCGAGGGACCTTGGGAGGGATTGCCCGTGTCTGATAGCTTGATAGCAAAGCCAGAAGAGAAAATGCCAAAGAAAACGAAATACCAGAGGCGCACAGGTAACCTTGGAAAATATTTGATGAGAAATCAATTGGAAGAGTTGAATTTGAATATATCACATGACATCATAATTTACCCCGCGGGGTTATACAATATATCCTTATATAGTACGGAGGAGGTACTCTTAGATAGTACTATATGGTATATAATAGACAGCAAATACATATCTTGAGTACTATATACTTGGAATAATAGCAGATATATCATATGTACTCAATTGCAATAAATGGAAATGACTTTATTACTCCCCTTCTCCCCTTGTCCCCCCCCCAAGTTAATCCTCGGTGGAGTCTACTCCGAGAGGGGCGTGGGATGGACATGGCCAGAAGCCCCGCCGGAGAACTGAACAGTTAAAGGTTGGGGCATTTCCACGTCTTTCTCTTTCTCTTCCAATTATTCTTCAACCTCTTAAAAATGTCTCTCGGAAAGAAAGTCACTCTCAACACCGGCCACCAGATCCCGTGCGTACATTCCTCACATATTGAGACCTTTTGAGACTCCATCACTGACCCCACGTTCAGCCAGCTGGGCTTTGGTACCTGGCAGTCTGCCCCTGGCCAGGTCGGCGAGGCTGTCTATGAGGCCTTGAAGGCTGGTTACCGCCACCTGGTATGTACATCTCCCTCTTGTCATTCGTTTAAACCATTCGCTAACCTCCACCCTCAGGATTTGGCAACTATGTATGCAACACCAATCTTTTCATCATGAAACACTCCCCCGTTACAATTGCGCCATGCTTACCGCCTGTCCACAGCTACCAGAACCAGCGTGAGGTCGCTGAGGGCATCAAGCGTGCTTATAAGGATGTCCCCGGTCTGAAGCGTGAGGATCTCTTTATTGTAAGCTTATCCATGCCAACTTGGGATATCATCCTGTTTCAGCAACTGACATGTCATTCTACAGACCTCCAAGTTGTGGAACAGGTACGCTATCTCGAATCACATTTTTGCATTACCAGGTTATTGACCCTGCATGTAGCCAGCACCGCCCCGAGGTTGTCGAGGCCTCTCTGGATGCTTGCCTTGCTGAGCTTGAGTTGGATTACCTTGACGTATGATTATTCCATTCAGTGGAACTGTGGGCTATTGCTGACATGACCAAGCTTTACCTTGTTCACTGGCCCGTTGCCTTCCAGAAGGGCGATTCATACTTCCCGCTCGTTGCCAACAGCCCCGTCGAGGGTGGTGACGTGATCATTGACGATGGCGTCTCTATTGTGGACACCTGGAAGGGTAAGTGGTTATCTTGTACACATGAGAGATGCAGACGTAGCTAACTCCTCTTAGCCATGACCCAGCTCCCCAAGAGCAAGGCTCGCTCCGTTGGTGTCTCCAACCACAAGATTGAGCATGTTCGTATCCTTCCTATCCCAGAACTTGCCATACATCAGCTAATACGCCCCGCAGCTCGAGGCTCTCATTAAAGGCACCGGTGTCGTCCCTGCCGCCAACCAGATCGAGCGCCACCCCGTGCTCCAGAGCAACGACCTGATTGAGTACTGCCAACAGAAGGGAATCCACGTTACTGCTTACTCCGTACGTATCTATTCTTTTGTGTCGACGGCAGAGGTTAACTGAACTTTTAGGCATTTGGTAACAACATGCTCGGCATTCCTCTGCTCATCACCCGTCCCGAGGTCAAGGAAGTTGCCGAGTCTGTTGCCAAGCGCACTGGCCAGGAAGTCAGCCCCGCACACGTCATGTATCTCCCCCCCTTTCTATACTATTGTCTCGAAAGCTAACATTCTTCAAGTCTCGCCTGGTCTCAGGTTGGTGGACACAGTGTCATCCCCAAGTCGGTCACGCCTTCGCGCATTCGCGACAACTTCAAGGAGATCGAACTCACCCCCGAGGAGGTTGAGAAGGTCAGCGCTCTGGGCCAGAACCGGAAGCGATACAACACACCTTACACTGCCAACAAGCCTCGTTGGGACATTGATATCTTCGGCGAGCCCGAGGAGAAGCCCGCTGGTCACAAGGTCATCCTGAGTGTTTAATTTCGCGTGCCCCCTGAATGAGAGATATCCGTGAACAGGCACCAGCCGATATATCTAGCTAACTTGCTCAATAATCAACCGATGACGATCAACTGATCATCCCGTATAAATGCCTTGGCACATGCTTGCTGAGTCCCTGGTCCCTGACGCGCTACCCATGCGTTGTTAGCCCTGGAGTTCTAAAACACCCGCTCCCTGTAGACTGAGTTCCCAGCAGAGTGGTCCCAAAGTGGACTGGCGGTGGTGACATATGAATCAGAGCGAAGATCCCAGACTACACAAGCCCATGCAGATACTACTTCGTAGGCCAGATTCCCTTGACCTAGACAGTTGCCTTCTTTGAAATTCAGAAAGGGCAGAAATCATTATCAAAACATGTCGCATTCAACAAAGGGTCCAAGGGTATATGTATAATTGCAAAAGGTTGCCTGTAACGTGGCTTCTGCCATCTCACGGCTGTTCCATTCATTGCCAGGATCATATCTGCTCGTCAATCGGTCATGAAAATCGCTTTATGCTGCGTGTATTGGTCGTTGATGAGAGCCCGAGACTGGTCCTGCGTCCAACTCGTGGTATTCCTGGACTGGAGTTAATCCATTTGCGGCCTCATAGACCGAGCGACCATCCAATAATATCGCCGATCCCACTGGCTTTCGGGGCAAGAGAGTCGGCGGTTCTTCCGGACGTGGTGCTTCTTCTTGGGGTGAGATACTGCCCTGAGAAATGGGGACCTTTTCATAATGTGCCACGACGGTTGATGGGGTGGATGAAGGTGGGATAGTTGATTGAGTGCCTCCACCTCTTTGTCTCTGGCGCCGTCGTCGAAGCACGAACCATAAGACCAACACAATCAGAAGGACAACCACGATTACACCCACTGCAATCCCGCCCTTGGCTCCTGGACTCAGGCCAGACGAGCCACTGGAGCAGGTATAGCCGTTTCTGAAAACTCTGTCGGATTTCAAACTGTCTAATGTACTGCATGACATGGAACTGCTGCCCACGATTGTTGTCTGACCTTTGACTTGATCAAGAGAAGGTAGCGACAAGCTGGTATATTCATCAGCATCTTAGAGGTGGGTGTTAATGACTGTCGCAATGAACATACCTGTCGAATGATCCCGTCAATTCGAGCTGTCCGTTAACTTGTTCCAAGTCCTGGAACCCCAGCGTTTTCAGTTTCGGATTCCCCGTGATGATTATGCTCGAAGAGACTTGTGATAACCCGCCCATGGTGATGGTTGTGAGTGAATCGAGATTGCTCAGTGTGATACCGCCCTGCACACTATCCAAATCAGGGGTAAAAAGACCCGTGAGCCCTGAGGCACCCTCGGCAATTAATGCACCCTGGATTTCCTCGACATTATTGATGGTGATCGCTCCGCTGACAGAAGGGGATATCGTAATGCTTCCTGAGACTGTGTCGCAGTTTCTCAGCTTGTTCGCATCGCTTTGGCTCGAGATGGTCACACTGCTTGAACCTATAGGGAATGAGCTACACAGCTGGCAAGAAAAGCAAGCAGTATATTACTTACAGGCAGCAGAGTCAGCGACCGCTCTTTGCCATGCGCTGGCAATCACCAGAAGGTAGATTACTATCATCCCTACGGGTAAGGTTTGCGGAGATCCAATTACTTATTCGACGCGACAAACCCTGAATAATGTTTGCGCGAAGGCACTGGGTATTCGCAGTTTTAAGGCAATAATACGGAGGGAGGCGGAGTCGAAAATTTCCGGCCTTGGCCTCGGCCAATTGTACTTTTGTATGTCAATTGAGCATCAAGACTGCGGATCGTCGCGGTGTTTTTATGGTGTTGATTGGTCAAGTTTGGATGTTTTGTTTAGCGATGCATACCCTGAATCCACAGGCCAATGGCGGATCGATCGTTCTGCCTGTGCAATTTCCATTCAAAGGCACGGGCCGGGAGACAAGATGCGCGAGTGCAGTCTGACAAATCATTCTCTACCTCCAGGCTGCCTGAATTGATCACCGTAAAATCTCGGCGCCGAAGCCGTGTTGCTATTTTTGTGTCTGGACCCTGTCGTAATTCAATCCCTGTTCAGCTATTATTCCGTACGAGTACGGAGTACTCTGTACTCCCGAGTATTGAATGGAGTACAACATAGGCAACAGAATTTAATATTGGCGCCCCTTGGCGGCCTGGTTCAAAATCCCCACATGAAGTGACATCACTCAAACGGAAGAATCAAACGAAACGACCTGGTCGATATAGAATGATATTGGAATATCAAAACCACTGAAGATTGGAATCTTCCAAGGTTGGAACATCCATTTTATGCCCGGGGTCCTTCCAAGGTTGGTACCGGGGCCAACCATGGATGTCGAAAACTTTCTTGGACTTGGAGTTTCCCCAAAAAGCTGACTCAGCACATGCGGGGAACCCTGCCCCGGCATCATGTTCGGAGAATCTACATGTATGAATCTCGATAACAGCCACCTTGAGCTGATATCTCTATGAGAGTAGGCAAAGGTTGTGGAAGGTGTCGTCATCGACATATCCGATGTGTGATTCCCACGGGGGGCATCAACTTGCACTCCATGTTTGCGACTCGGTCGGGCGTGTCATCTCGATCCCCGTTTCCAGTTCAAGCCTGTCCACCACGTTTACCAAAAGAATAATGGTGCCACTGCCCGATTTGAGTTAGATTGGGATAAAGAACAAGTTTGGGTGGACGTGTCACAGCCTGGTAGGAACCCAGGACCTTATTGCTTTGGTGATGTACTGATCTCGTCTAGTGACATTCGTCCTGGAGGCGAATGATGAATCGGCTGGAGACGAACATAGTGCTTTAGAACAATACAGCAGTCTAGCACCAGAATCGGTTGGAGACGAGCATAGTGCTTTACGACCATACACTCCAGCACCAGAGCGGGTATCACATGGTAGCAGTGGATGGACTCAAGGTCTTCCCTCAGAGGACACATATCAGGCTCAAGCTCGCAGCCCAATTTATGAGAATCGATCCCATCAGGACTCTACAAACAGTCCACTCAGCCTTTTGTCAGACAATGGATCTACACTGTCACTAAGAGAGGCATCACTGATGCGCTACTTTATACAGAAATTAGCACCCTGGGTAAGCTATCGGCGAGTCTGATCTTAGGGTTACATATCTGACATTTTAGGCCGACGTCTGTGACATACATTCACATTTCAGCACCGAAGTCCCGAGACGAGCATTGGAGAATAACATGGTATTGCAAGCCATCCTGGCTCTGTCTGCGCGACATGATGCAATATTGGCCAACGATAGTGACTGGGAGGCATCAGCTTATCATGGTCAATGTTTGCAATTATTAATTGCGGCATTAGATCAGGCCGAGACAAGTTGTGACGAGAACATGCTCATTGCGGTCGTGATTCTTCGTATATATGAGGAGCTAGAAACAACCACTGACCAGCAGTTTCACCTACTTGGGTCCAACCGTTTGGTGAATCTTATGGCCCGCTCTGCCTCCGCTGGCGGAGTGGCAGAGGCAGTGAGCTGGCAGTTCTTGCGACAAGCTATCTATGCATCGGTAGTACAGTATCAACCTTTACAACTCGACATGCAGAATTATGAGCGCTCGTCAATGTTCCACCGCCACGATGACGGTGCTTGCGCTAATCGAATTATCTATCATTGCGCCCGAATTCTGCAAGTATGCTGTGACGCGCCCGGAAATATTGTGGAAGAGGAGACCTGGCGCCAAATATCAGACAGCGTGAACGAGTGGAATCGAACCAAGTCCACAACCTGGCAACCTATCCGGTATCAAGCATCGAGTGTGGCTGCTGGTCGCCCTTTCCCTGAGGTGTGGATGATTTCCCCGCCTGCAGGTATGTCTTTGGTCCCGTTTTCGACGACACATCGTGAAGTTACTGACCGCAACCAAAGTTATCGGAATGCAGTATTATCACTCGGCCTGTATTTTTCTTACTTTATCCGAAAGTCCATCGCACAATATGAGCGATTATGAAAGGGCCCGCTCAAGGCGTGTGAAGGAGGTAAGCCAAATCACAGTTCTGAGTGACTATATTTGCAAGCTGATCCATATCCTGGAAAAACAATTGCCGACCATCTTGTCATGGTTATTGGATTGTCTCTATCCAATGAAAGCGTAGAGAATGCCTATTTTATGGCATGCCATTTATTACATCGCTGTTCGTGTGCCCTCCATGTTCCTCGACACTCTTGCCTGCTGACCTGTCATTAGTTGGCTACTGTCTTCGGAACGTAGTCGAGCACGAAGGATCACTCAAGTTCTTGGCACGAGTAGAAAATATGCTGGGGTGGCGCACTTCATGGATAATGCGGGAGCTGGAGCATCAATGGACCGAGTTGGCTGCGTTTGACGCGAGCGACAAGATATAATAGGTGTTTATGAGCCCAAGAAATCAACCACTCAGAGTTGAAAAAGATTTAATTTGGACCAAGAGCCCCCGGATTGGACTCTCCATGAGAAACTCAGGCCACAGGGGCAACAGCAGGTAGCCGTATGTAAAGCCGGATGGCGGTTCTCATGGTGACTCGATGAAAGTCCAAAATCAGTCTCGACGGAACCCGCTTGGAATTTCGAACATTTTCCGAAGCCGAAGAAGAGAGAATACTAACCTCGCTGTATAACTCATAAGAATGTATCAGACTGAATTGTCCTACAATTCTGACTTTGAAACCCGCCGTGGTCCTTCCAACTTCCTGTAAGTGTGCTGTGGCCAAAGAGACTGGAGGACCTCTTATGATTGAAGAGACTTGATTCGACCTGACGTAGGCTGTAGGCAAGATGTCAAAACTCGAGCCATATGTATATGGTATTTGCTTGTCTGGTCACAATGCTCAGGTGTATGGTATGCCCGGATCCTTGTATGTCTTTCTAACCACTCTCCTCAGTATAGCGCATTACCGCCGTAACATCTGCTAGCATAGTTGTGTCTGGTCGTGAGAACATTGGAGTTGTCGCAGTCGGAGATTCTGTTTTCGCAGTGGAAGGTTGGGGATCGCATCGCTGGAGCATAGCATGAAGGTCATGATTCTACAGCAAATCAGCTTGAATGTAAATTGTCATAACTTCACCCGGTCCTAGGAGCTCACGAATAGGCCAATAGCACCTAAGTAAGGACCCGGCTGAGTTGTAAAAGCAGGGGATCGTCCCTCGTGGCAACAGCATCTGACGCCCGCGTGATCCATGTGGAAAGTACGTGGGATCATGCGACAAATTCAGAAGGGGCTGTTGAGTTCAGAGCAAATCCACTGTATGGCGTTAAGCATTTCCAAGGCAAATTACGTATATGATATGTCCTCGGGACTCCGGGACTAAAGAAATAGCTGCATATGTACCTATGTAGATATCAATTTCACAAACGTCCTAAGTAACTTCCTAGATGCGCTGACTCCTGCACTTTAAGTCTAAGGCATTAAGGTCTCTGACCTCCGCTTTCTCTTTTTCTCTTCTCTCTGTGTGTTTCCTATTCTTTGTTCTCTTTCGTCTCTTCTCAAAACATCATCATACATTGGCATGGATACAGAAGAACCATGGGAAGTGCTCCTGTACAGGAAGCAACTTGAAGATGCTGCTAAGATCCCAACTGAATGGAGGATACCGGAAGAACTGGCCAATCTACCTGAGACATCTGGAACAAATATGCTAGATGTCCCACGCCAGTCGGAAATCTTGTCCGCGAGACAACTCGAGATAACCGAGAAATATGATGCCACTGATCTGCTGGGCAAGATCCATCGTCAAGAGTTGTCTGCCTATGAGGTCACCGAAGCATTTTGCATTCGCGCTGCCATTGCACAACAAGTGGTATGTGTTGACAATGACCTATAAAGCTTCGCCACCGGCTTACGATGAACCCACAGACTCGATGCATCACTGAAACTTTTTTTCAAGAGTGCCTTGTAGCGCACAAAGGATCCGGGCGAGAAGTTATCCAAAACAGGGACATCTCTTGGGCCTTTGCATGGCTTGCCCATCAGTTTCAAGGTACAAAGACAATCCTAGATAGAGAATTTGCGCCTACTGATGCCATATGCAGGATTGCTTCAATATTAAGGGCATTCCGTCTACGATTGGATTTGCCTCGTTCATCAAAAATGGGCCTGTCAGTTACACTTCTCTTGCGGTTCTGGTTCTGCTCAACCTGGGGGCCATCCCGTATGTGAAGACAAATGTTCCCCAGACAATGATGGTGAGTGATCTTACAAAATCAAATGCGCCACAATTGCTCAACGTTCTAGGCCGCTGATTCGCACAACTACGTGTTCGGCCGGACGCTCAATCCTCATCGACCGAATCTTACCGCTGGCGGGTCGACTGGGGGAGAAGGGTCATTGATTGCCATGTGAGGATCGGTGCTGGTAGTTGGTACAGACATTGCTGGCTCTATTCAAATTCCAGCTATCTGCAACGGGATCTACGCATTGCGACCTTCCGCAGACCGTATTCCATATGGAGGACAGACCAGCTCTACTCGCCCAGGACGAGCCGGGATCAAGGCTTGCGCAGGGCCTTTGGCAACATCGGTCAGAGACCTGGAGCTGTTCATGAAACTTGTGACCAATGCAGACCCATGGCAATTTGATTCTTCCGCTTTGTTTTCTCCATGCCGCACAGTTCCCCCCAAGACCACCCTGCGGCTCGGGCTCATCCAGGAGGATACGAATTTCCCTCTGCATCCACCAGTCCTCCGAACTCTTACAAGTGCAATTGAAAAGCTTCAAGCAGCTGGGAATGAGATTGTTCCTCTACATATCCCGCTTATTCGAAATGCCTGTACGTTGGCATTTCGCATGTTCTCGATGGATCCAGCTCGCACTCCATTCAAGCACATCGCTGCCAGTGGGGAACCAGTCATTCCCTGCTTTGGCTTCGACATCTCTGCACCATAGGTACATGCCATACGGGTACGCCCAATTAACACTTGAAGGGCTATACGACCTCAACGAGGAGTGCAATTGGATCAAGGAGGCTTTCCGAACTCTCATTACGGGGGCCGAAGTGGATGCCATTATCATGCCCGGCTATCAAGGTACCGCTCAACCACATGACGTGTTTGGCTTTGTGCCCTACATTGTCTTTTGGAATCTGATGGATGTAAGTTCGTATATTCTCATCTCACGGCGCTATACTAATACTCCAAAGTACCCGAGCTGTATCATTCCGCATGGCAAGGCGAACAACGCCGCCGACCAAGCATTCATTCGGAGTGTGGATTACAAACCTCCCTGTAAGTGTTGTATTTTACTTCGATTATGATTGATGGATTTACTGCTGACTCTTGAATTTGAGATGTGGCTGATGACATCGAGGGAGCTCCGTGTTCCGTGCACCTCGTTGGCCGAAACATGCACGACGAGGAATTGATGAAAGTGGCGGAGCTTGTGTCCAAGACACTCGAGCTTTGAGCCATATTGGCACTGGTAGAATGGACTAAGAAAGGAGGATACTTGAATTGAAGAATTGCACACTTATTAAGCGGAGTTCTCCATATATGTAGGCCAAATCTTACCCAAACCCGAAGGCGCAAGGGCAGAAGGGAAATGAAAAGAAGATCTGCCAATGTACGGGATATCATATTGAGGCCAGAAGAGGAAGAAAGCCAACGGAGAATTTCTCTTAGACCGTATTCTCTTGGCTACAGTACCTTCGGGATATTTGGCCGCGAGACTTTGGAATGTCGTCACTTCATTCATGAAAACCCCGCAAATCACTTTCCTGCATCAAGGGATTTCCACCAACGGGAGAAATGGATATTCACCCGCATTTGACCTGGGGAGGTGTTATAAGTGTAAAATATGTCCTTTGTGGAGAATGACTGATGACTCTGATGCCCATGACTGACAGGAATTACATCCACCACAATGAACATGATCTTGAAAGCAACTGGAGTGGCCCTCCTCAGTATCATACCTTACGTTCAGGCATATCCTGTCAGTGCCTTGAAACACTCGCCTAAGACTCCATTCTTTGTTCTAGCGGGTGATAGCACCACAGCAACTCAATCCTCAAACGGAGGAGGGTGGGGAGACGGATTTCTCGACACAGCCCTTTTTAAAGGAGCATCTGGTCGCAATTTCGGTCACAATGGTGCAACTACTGTCAGCTTCCGAGATGGAGGTGATTGGGATGAGGTTTTAACGACTGTGAAACAAGTTCGAGACGACTATCATCCATTTGTGACAATCCAATTTGGCCACAACGACCAAAAGCCAGCTGCAAACATCTCACTGTCACAATACACCAGCAATCTTGAAAGATTTGTGTCTGAGGCTTCTGATGCTGGGGCTACACCCATTCTCGTCACTCCTCTGTCTCGGCGCAATTACGATGACTCAACAGGGACACCGAGTATCGTCATGAGTCTCGCCAATGAGACCATGGCTGCCATAGCTGCCGCCCATCATTCCTCTGCTGCCTATATTGACCTGAATGAAGCGAGCACCCGGTACCTCAATGCGATCGGACCAGCAAATGCTTTCACATACAACCTCAATCCATCGGACAATACCCATTTGAACGCGCCGGGAAGTGTTCTCTTTGGAGGAATTGTGGCCGAACTAATTAGCCAGAAATTTGACAATTTGGAAAAATCTGGATATCTGCGCGTGAATCGTAAACTCAAGAAGAATGTTGATCGTGGGATCTATTACTGGCCTTGACTCTTATGACCACTTACGACCACTTATTCCCTAAGAATACAAGATACTATTTCAATACCCAAAGATGCTGTTCTATGCTTGTAATCAGGTCGGTTAGGCCTAGCCTAAAAGCAGGGGTCCACAGCCCAGCAAATTTGATCAAATTAATCTCCCCAGCTTCTTTATATCCCTATCAAACTACATATCAATGCTTGATGGCTACTTCTCCTCCTCATGAGCATGCTTTTGGAGGAACAAAGCTTTCATCGAAGGATATGTGCGCACTTCGAGATCCTCTGATAAAGCGGAAGTTCCCTCCTTGTTCCAAAGATCATACTGGATTGACTGTGGTGTTGTGTCCTGAGCACGTTTAGCAAACCAAATTGCATGGACCCAGTCAATAGAAACTTCAAAGCCTCCCCCTTGGTCATGAATCAAAATTGTCGCTCCATCTTCACTGTCGAATCGACGGGAAATATCGATCCGTTCCTCCTCACCCCATGATCCGCCGAGCTTAGAGTTGAAAATGACCTTACCCTGAGCTCGGCGAATAGAGATATGGAAGATGATATCGTTCTTTGCATCCATGATGGAAATCTGGGTCATGTCGACGCCATCGTCGGGTTTGACAGGATCCACGCTCGACGACTCGATGAGAATGACACTGTCTGCTTTGAGAGTCTGCTGGAATTGAAGACTACCATGAAGTGGGAGATTTGCTCTTGGTCGTCTCGGTCTGAGCCCAGTTAGTGGTCTATTTCCATGTGTATCCCCTTTTCTATAGGATTGAGAAACTTACCGAGGAGTTGGTGGGTCAATCTTTGGCTGCTTCAACTCCGGATCCAGCGCTCCATCAGCACCGCCAGTAATGGTAGGCTCTTTCTTGAAGTTTTCAAAGGCTGGTGGAGTAGCGGGGTTAGTGAAATGCTTGGTGTCGTTGCTGCTGCCAATGATTTCCAGCTCCAGCTTCTCCACCTCGTAGCGAGGTAATTCTTTCTCGTTCTGCGAAAGGTTAGCGGCAATAAAGGTGAGAGTTGGCTACGTCTGCTTGCCTTGAATACCCGCCAGTATGCGCGCTTTTGTATATACGCCAAAACCTCGTCGCGAGTCAATGACTTCAGTTTGCGTCCACCCTGATAAGCTTGTAAAGAACCGGGGTAATTGGGATGTAAGCGGTTGACTTGACGCGGGATTTCTGTCCTTTGGTGCAGTTCTCGCAGACTGAAGAACCATCCAACTCGGGCTTTTGACTAAAGTTATACACCTCCGCGATCAAGTCTGTCAGTGGGGTTTGTATGCCGTCCTCCTGGGCGAGATACAATTTGACCCAGAAAGGCCGCCCTCCCAATGCATATCTATGTCATTCAAGATAGTTAGATATCAATTCTTATTACAGCAGGTATTTCTCAAGGGCAACATACTTCAAGAACCGAACACTGAAAGCGAAGTCGGGAATTCTGAGCCCACCGTCAATTTCCTCAACGCCCTCTGGGGTTGGAGCCTTAGGGTCCAACGCCAAATCACGCGACACACCATATAATCTGTTGATGGTGGTGGTGATGTTTTCCTTGAACAGAACTTGGTTGAGTGTTCCGTCCTGCTGGTGGTATTTAGTCTCCCATCTTGGCAGCTCTGGATAAGAATAACCCAGATTGGGGGTAAACCTGACCCCTTCAGGAGTCCAATAATTTCCTTCAGCATCATGCCTGAATGGCTGAAGAGGCGTGTTCCCATTCACGATGTGCTCTTTGCCAAATGAATCACGAATGGTAGCATTGTCGGCAGGAATGTTATCCATCCACTTGTCCGGGTTGAGAGCTTGCCAGATAGCGAAAAGACGGTCGGTGTTGCTGCAAGTAATTTTCGTGAGTTGCATTTCTAGCTGGCTGAGGAAGTATACTTACCAGTGGTGCAAGAAGAACAGCGGATCAAAAGAGGCAACAGGTACATTTCCCATGTGTCCTGCAGCACCTGTCCAGCCATGGCTTTGAAATAGTGTTATTAGTGTTTGAAGCAGTTGGGAATCGCATACTGTAGATGTAGACAATCAAATTCCCCTGTGGCGATACTTGGGTACTTACATATTGTTGTGAATCTAGGGTTTCCGGTCAGCTCTTGTTCAGTTGTGCTGTGAGATCTCAAATACATATACTCACATATTCAATGTTCAAGTCTTCATCCACATTTTGATCTTTCGAGGTTGGATTTGTGCTTGCAAAGGTAATGTAATCCATGGGCACGGTAAGCAGACGGTACACCATTTCAGCTGCAGGACCATGATTCTTGTCATTGTATCCTTCGTGAGCGTTGAAAGCATCTGCCACTTTGCGGTTATTGACTACACCGTGCCGCCAGCCCTCGCTAGTTGGTTTCTGGTCCTCTTCATCAGGCCAACGACTAGTTCCAATTGCATTGCCAAACTGATTGAGTCAGCTTCGTTCGTCTTCACATTGCTTAGGTCTTACGTACGTTCTTATACTCCTCCTGTTCGGCGTCGTTTTCCCATGTGTTTTCAGTACCGACGCCCTCACTTCGCATCGGCTTGTCTGTAGGCATGCGAAATTGAAACAGTGGATTATTGATTCGAACCGATCCGCCCTGGGGCCTTGGGACAGTGATGGTAGGGTATTTGGCCAAGTCAGGGACACGGCCATTTCGGGCCCAGTCCCAGAAGGGAAGGCGCCAGGACTCGGCTTGTTGACGCCATGAAGCTTGATGGGCTTCCGGGAATTGAGGGATAACCTCCTTGACCATGATGTCATACAATACTTGCTAGAATAAAGTCAGTACCCAGTTTGTCTCAGGTAAGAGGCCTTCCTACCTCGAAAAGAAGCACATATGGTCGGTGCCAAACGGGAAAGATCACATGAGAATGGAAACAGTAGCCACTTTTCATGGGCTCTGGGCTAGGATCATCCCATCGCACAAAGGGTTGTCCATGAATACCTGGTCAAATGCATGTTAATGCTGTAAACAGAAGCTCATGGATTGGGACCTACCAGCCACTTGAAAGTAAGACAGTCTTTCTTTGGGGTCCAGCTTCTGGAAATTGTCCAGAGCTAGGATAAAAATATCCACTTGCTTTTTGTTCGACTTCTTGCTGCTCCATTCGTCGATATCTTGTCGGACAAAGACCTTGCGGTTGATGCCATCATCAGGATTGGAATCTTTGGCCGGAAACCGGGCTTGGATCTGGTAGTACTCGTACTCAGATGATTCAGACATCTTGTCTGCTGCCGAAATTATCGAAATTGTTGAAGCAATACTTCGTTTTGAAGATTTTTTGCTTAGTCGCCCAAAGAGGTGCATTCGAAGTTGTTAGGGAAAGACGATTTACTTGGGCCATCGGATTGAATTAACTGTTTTATATTAATTTCTTTCACACCTGGTGAGAGTTGGACAGCAGTCATAGATTGCATAAAAAAAGCAATTATTGATCAACATAGAACGGCATTTTGGGCACCTTGGCACATATGCTGGCTTGTCACATTTTAATGCAAGCGTCGCAACAGAAAGCTGTCAGCTCTGCGAGTAGCAACGCCTTTTACCACCCGTTGCAGCGTAAGGAAATTATTGGCGACCAGATAATACAGGTATTCGTCCATAGCCAAAGTCCACTGATGCAGTCAGCTTCACAATTGCTACTTAGAGTTATAGACAGCTGTAACCTCGACCCAGAGCGGGGAGGACTTGATCGGGCTCGTAGATCACCAATCGACTGTTGTGCGGCATTTCCTTTCTCATTTGGCCTGCATGCTGGCTTGGAAATTGACACGAACTACTCAGTAGGTTCGTTGAGTTGTTCCAACTCTTCCAGCTAGCCACAGGTAGTGTAATCCAACACCCCAGTCGTGCCAGCTGCTGGCTGTCGAACTAGTGGCGATTAATATGTATACGCAATAAATCTTACTGTGCCATTGCTTGCTTCAGTCATCAGCTAGTCACAGGTACCTCAGCTACACCAACACCTCATTGTCGAACTAGTGGCGACTTTAGTTAGGCTCAATTTTGCTGCATTGTTTGCGCCCGCCACCCAATCCTGCAGCTTGGGTTCTCGAGGCCGAGTTGTCAATCTCGAATATAATATTAATTACCAGTATACGGCTCGCTCACAAGCCTCAAAGGCTGCCTCTGTAGCCAGGTATTTTCCCGCGTTGGAATACTCCCCACCCGTGTAGCCCTGATCGTAAACCCGAGCACCCTGGTAGATCATCATACGCGCCGCCTCCAGTTTCATCCAGCTGTCCGCCAGGGGATATTCATCCCATGAAGAATCATGCGGAACCCTTCGTTTTCTTCTCCAACAGGGTCCTCCATTGAGACATGTCAGTTATCGAAGAAAAGGGAATTGGTGTCGACGGCAGCCCGACCCATCTTTGGAATTTCAGTGATTTGGACCAGGGGAACTTGTAGATCTGTGTAGAAAAGTGACAGGCCCTGCGATGGCTTTTTCACTCGGTCGCGTGGTGTTGTGCGCACAAGAATAAGGATCTTGTCAGCCCGCTGGGCAGTGGAAATCCAGATCTTTTGTCCCGACAGCACATAGCAATCCCTCGACCGGCGTGCAGCTGCCTGCAATTGCAGGGTATCTAGACCAGTATTGGGCTCAGTGACTCCAAAGCAGGCCCTCTGGTGACCAGCAATTAGCGGAGTGAGCCAGCGATCTTTCTGCTCCTCGGTTCCATACTTGGCGACTGGCTCAAGGCCAAAGATATTCCACCCGTCATGCCCGCACCAGACTCTGCAATAGTCTGCATCATCACTACCGCTTCTGAAATGCCAAGCTCCGAGCCCCCATGTCGCTGGGGCAGGCAGATACCCAACCATCCCTGGCGTGCCAACGCCTCATAGAGTTCGGTCGGAAATTGATGCGACTCGTCTATCTGGGCCCAGTAACTGTCCGGGAAGTCTGAACATATTTTGGAGATGGCTTCTCGCACCGTTCGCTGGGACTCGGATAGATCGGATCCTGGCTTTGGAGAAACTCGGTCGCACGCGCGTGCAATGATCGTATCGAGGGATTCGTGGGATATGCACAAGATGTTAGCAAGGGATTTGGACCTGATAAGTCTCCGTACATATGTCAGAACTGTCATGTCGAAGGAAGTTGTTATGAAACATACTGAGACTAGAATGCTGGATCAACATGTCGGCTTTTTGACACCAAAGCCCATGGTGCGGGGGAGACCGAGGATGTTCAGAAAGCGCCGAAAAAGAGCGAAGTGACGAGAAAGAGGGGTTAAACGAGAACAACTTGGTTCTTATGCCAATCTCATTCGAAGTTGATATGGGCAGATCCCCAAGTGCAACCTGACAGTTGCAGTAGCTCAGTTGCAAGTGAGACAATACCTCAGGCCACAATTGTATTTACATCGACGTACACGCACCTGGACACTATTTGCTGTTTCACATTCTCAAGATTTTATCTGGAGATGCACTTGATACTATTCTAGCCTGGAACAAGTCAAGCTGCAGCTACAGCCTGGCCGTACTATGTAAAGAGAACAAGTTTCTTCTCTGGCCCATTTTCCCCAAGGGATCAGCAATGACAGTGCCGGGTTTCCCTATTGGCTCTTCATTTGACGAAGACAAGCGTAGGAGAGTCGTCTGGTCGCCCTCATTTGCCAAGAAGCGGTGGTTAGTATCGGTTAATCGGCCTACAATGTAAGCCCGCAATGGAGTGCCATGTCGATTGAACTCAACGGTATATGTCTGGCCACAAGTCAGCATTTCTCCCCAAGTAACCTCAGAGCCAGCAGGTGAAGGTGAGTCTATCCCACTCACCTCGATTGTTGCTGGCCCTTCCACCTCGAAATCGACAGGGGAATTGGATCTGGTTCAGCCTGTTCTAAACCGTTGCCATTGGGATAAGGTGACCCATTTCTCGGGGGCAAAGAAGAAAAGCAAATGTCATGTTGATATGATAAGACGCCACCGTTGGCAAGGATGAGTCCATTGCGACTGGAGCCTCTACGAAGCTAACGGGTCATCTCAGTGATAGCCTATAGTTGCGGGCGAGCCGTGGTCGGTTGTGGCAATGAGAAAACAGTCATACATGCATGGAGTAGTTGTTTCCAGCACCACCAAAGGAGGCCAGGCCGCCCAGCAGAGTAATTGGCTTGTTGGGCTGTGTAATGGAAATCCCCAGGTGATGACATGCAAGCTTCGGCACAATTGGGAAACATCTATTGAGATGTCAGACGATTGGCACAGCAGTTGGAGGTGAGACGCTTACGAGTAGAAATAATATAGATCTATGTCGTCGCCAGTAAGTTGACTCGCACTAAGGCATGCATCAAGAGACCTTGAGATTGCCGCGCTTTCAAAAAAGCCTGGACGTTCCCAAACTTGTTCTGTCAAATCTTGTCCTGCACAGAAAGCTTTGTCACCAGCTCCAGTAACAAAAGCTACAAATAAAGTTGGTTCATCGTCGAACCAGGAGAATATGCCATGGGCTTCCCAATGAGCCTCGGCGGGTAGCGCATTCCGTTGTTTCTCACGATCGACCGTCACTAGCAGCACCTTTGGCTTTGCAAATGATAACTTGAAAATGTTCGTCGTTGGTGGTTGCGAGTGAATATCGGACATTATTAGTGTCCCAAGTGACGTTCAATAGGTTGTATGCTATCTTGTGGGAGGGATTGCGGGGTGAGGAGAGCTTTGGCGATTAAATAGGCTATATGAGAACAGGCATAGTCAGAATAATGTCAAAAAGAGAAAGAATGCCATATAGTCGGCTTCACTAGGTAGCCTCCCCAAAGGTGATGAGGGGAAAAGCCAACGTACCTCGGAAGCTCGGCTACCAACGACTTGTTTATATGCAGCCCTGGGGGGTGAATTCTTTTCACATCATCTTCACAATTCACCATGGCATCGCAATCTTACGTCTTGGGGGTGGGAATGACCCAATTTCTTAAACCACGTCGCACTCGTGAATGTGAGATCATCCCTTTCCGCATAGACTCTTGTCTATATAGTACTGTTTCTTATAAAGACCCGACGGCAGCTCACCATGTCTTTCCCTTACAGACCCAGAACTCGGTTACGAGGCAGCAGTCAAAGCCTTAATTGATGCACATATCACATACGATGATGTACAGGCAGGTGTAGCCTGCTATTGTTATGGCGACACAACTTCTGGTCAGCGGATCATGTACCAGCTAGGAATGACGGGGATTCCGATTTACAACACCAACAATGCATGTGCCACCGGTTCTACTGGCCTTCATCTTGCTCGCACTCTGGTCAAAGGAGGCCAGGCCGATTGTGTCCTCGTTGTTGGCTTCGAACAGATGCGCCCAGGGTCGATCAAGAGTGTATGGGACGATCGGCCCAGTCCATTGGGTCCATCGACCAAAATGATGGAGGACACTTTCGGTAGACACCAGAGCCCTCGAAATGCCCAGTACTTTGGAAATGCCGGACAGGAGTACATGGACAAGTACAGCGCCCAGAGGCCTAGATCTTGACTTGATGCTGACCATGCGAACAGATATGGCGCCAAAGCGGAAGATTTCGCTGAAATTGCCCGGGTGTCGCATGAACACTCCCAAAGAAACCCGTACGCTCAGTTCCGAACTGCATACTCTCTGGACCAAATTTTAGACCCGAAGACGCAGATCTATGGACCCTTGACCAAGCTCCAGTGCTCCCCAACGAGTGATGGCGCCGCAGCGGCCATCATTGTGTCCCAACGGTTCTTGGATGCGCGTCCTCATCTCGAATCCCAGGCAATTCTCATGGCCGGCCAACAGCTGTTGACCGATGGCCCAGAGGTATATTCCCGGAGCGCAATAGACCTCGTCGGGTTCAATATGTCACGCCAAGCCGCGCAGCTGGCCATGCAGGAGGCTGGTGTCGGAGCAAAAGATATCAAGGTCTGCGAGCTTCACGACTGTTTCTCCACAAATGAGCTTCTGTTGCTTGATGCACTTGGATTTTCGGAGCCAGGAAAGGCCCACGAGATGGTTCGTCGGGGGGGATATCACATATGGCGGTCGCGGCCTAGTCGTCAACCCATCTGGCGGGTTGATCTCAAAAGGTCACCCTCTAGGGGCCACAGGGCTGGCTCAGTGTGCGGAGCTCACATGGCAGCTCCGCGGTTGGGCCAACAATCGTCTGGTGTCCGGTACTGATGTCGCCTTGCAGCACAATCTCGGGTTGGGGGGAGCAGTGGTGGTAACTATATATAAGCGAGCCGATGGACAGGTCAGCCGTCCCATTGCAGATGAAGATATCAAGAGGGTTTCTGGTTTGGAATATAATCCTGCAGTCGAAGCTCGGTATATCACCCCTCAGGACGGTGAACGCGTCCGCAGCAAAACAAAACGTCACAAGTATCCGCTCCAAGAAACGGTCGAGAAGCTCAAAGCGCGCATCTAAGCAAGGCGAATCGACCAGAGCCTGTGCAGGAATCGCAGGACTAGTTGCTATATTGGGAGAACCAGATAGGAGAATACATAACCGGGATTTTGAAGTTGCGGTCGAATGAGAAATGCAAGAGTGCAACCAAGGGATGAAGAACATGATCAGCTCAGGATGTATCATTCAGATCGCACATGAGGAACCCTGCTTGTTGAAGTCAAAATGGACCTTATGCTTGGAAACGCAATGGGGATAATGATGTCGAAGCGGTAGTGGATGAGTGACGATGAAAGGCTTGATGTTGATATCTCTTCGACTAGCAACTTGCAGGCCAGACAGCTATGCTTGCACTTTTCATTGTACAGTCTACTAAATGAGCCAACATTCACTGCAACATAGCACTTAGCATATACATATGTACACTAACAACTGAGACTCTAGTGTACACCTTTTCATGATCCCCTCCGAATTCAAACTCCAACCACCTCTGCCAACACCCACCTTCTATGTACATGCAATCAACACATCACTTTTCCCTTACAAATTGGCAAATCTGATACCGGACTTCTGAGCTGTAAAAGTGGAGATCAGATCCATCAGCGCCGGCGACAGGACGTCATATGTCTGCAGTCCAACAGCCTTGAATTTGGCTCTCACTTCATCCATTTCTTTGGGGTGGGAACCCTGTTCAATGATGGATGAGACGAAACCGGCGAATTGTGGTTCCTGCCAGCCCTTTTCATCGGACAACTCCACGTGTACAAAGTCGAGACCCTTGAAAGGATGATCCTTCTCGATACGCCCGAAGAGATGCACTCCGCAGTCCTTGCAGGCATTGCGTTGAATGGTAGCTTCCTTGTCCACAACCGAAAGCTTCGAGGCATTTGCTGTCACCGAGACGGCGTCTCGCGGTACAACACCAACAATGGAGAAGAGAGAACCGGATGGCTTCCAGCACTTAGAGCAGCCACATGCGTGGTTGTGGGCAACATTGCTATTCAGAGTGACCTCGACCCGGTCGGAGGCGCAGCGGCAACGGAGCTTCCCACCGGCGAAGCTACCGGAGCCAGGCGTGATGCCGTTGTCAATCAGAGGATGGAGAGAGGGTGCCATGGTGAGAAATGCAAAATAATTTGGTATAATGGAGGTTACTGGAAGAGTCTACAGGAAATGTCGACCTTACTTATATGTAATATAAAGGTCCAACATGAATAGTCAGATCCCCTCACACCTCCTCATGAGGGGTAACGGTAACCGGGCCGTTGACCCGTATACGGGATTGTATACATACATTAGAGTATAAGTAGATTGCCAATTGTGGATTCGGATCCTGAATGGGGAAATAATTTCCCTTTCGACTCGGGGACTGATGCCGATTTCTTTTTGTTTTGCGGGAAAAGGGACTCATGAGGGGTCTGATAATCTCCAACTATGTTATCTTGTCTCTTGGTATATTTGGGAATTCTGCTTATAACCAAGAATCTACCAGAAGCATCTCTGGCTGTTCAAATGTTGAAATGTTGAAATGTTGAAGATGCTGCCCAGGTGAGGTTCTCCATTAGCCCTGGAGAAAACCAGGGCTGACAAAGATGATCTTCCCCCCGGGGCCCTGGGACAGGCACAAGACAGGATTTGATGAATCGCATCTTTGCACTCCTTGGCTTTTGACAATTTCCCTTCTTGGCTCCTCTGACTCCTTGACTCCTTTGACTCCTTTGAATTGCTTTCCAACTTCGCACTTCTCCATGACCAATATTCCCGAGACTTCGACCCTTTCGCATGACGTCATCGATAAGGAACAAGCCGCGCAGACGGTTCAGGTACATGTTGTGTAAATCCTGTTGCCCATTTTCCGCTGACCATCGTTAGAGAATATATCGTGGTTATCGAACGCGACGTGAGCTGCGCGGACTTGGTTTGGCTGCTTCCACTCGATGGATTGAGGTAAAGTGTGTGTATTTTGCACGAAATCTACTGAATCTAATCTTGTTTCTTCCCTCTAGGCCTTCCGAGAAGCCCAGTGGCACCAACTGCATCGACCTCCGGAGCCTCGCGTGTCACCTAGCACTGATGGCTTCAACCAAGCTCGTCGAAACTGGCAACGGGCGATTAGTGTCGCGAGGCGCGTCGGCGGCGACGATCATGTTTCGGAAGTTTCACCTTCCACCGGAACTCGATCAGAATATAACACAGAGATCGAATCGGGGACTACGGCGAAGATGATGGATCTTCAATACTTTCTCGAAATGGTCGATCTCAAACATCGACATGGAAGCAATCTGCGCTCGTACCACATGTATTGGCGGAATTCATCGTCAAAAGAAAACTTCTTCTATTGGCTGGACTATGGCGAAGGAAAAAATGTTGAGCTGCCGCAATGTCCACGAGACAGACTCGAGAAAGAACAGGTCCGTTATCTCACTCGCGAAGAACGTTTGAATTACTTGGTGATGGTAGACGAGACTGGGCTCTTCCGCTGGGCCAAAAACAATGAGCCAGTGTGGACGAATACTGCACGTTTCAAAGATAGTCTCCAGGGGATTGTCGGAATCGAAGATGATGTGTCTCAATTCAGGGGAAACTCCACGATCCTAAAACCAGATTCCACCTGGGATTTGTCACTATCAACATCATCATGTTCATCATATTCATCATCAACATCAACATCTGCAAGACAGAGCCTTGACAATGTCTTCTCAAATCATGACCCGACGCATTTCGCCGATGACGAGTACGAAGCTGGGAAGATGATGAAAAAGGTGGTACACGCAAGTCCCGCTGCTACATTTAAGCGACTTTTGGGCAAACCGTCACAGAAAGAAGATATGTGGCTATTTGTGAGTTAGTTCTGGGTTTGTGATTGTTGAATACAGACTGAACCATCCTTAGGTTGCAGATACCTCTTTTCGTTTGTACGTTGGCATAAAAAAATCAGGTGCGTTTCAGCATTCATCTTTTCTTCGAGGCGCCCGTATCGCAGCAGCTGGAATGATTAAGATCAAGCACGGCCAACTTCGCAGCCTGGCGCCACTCAGGTGAGTTCCATGAAGACTTTCATTCATCAACTTTCATTACTTGCAAGTGCAGGCTAACCTGTGCAGTGGTCATTATCGCCCTCCAGCTGCCAATTTTAGAGCATTCCATCACGCTCTACAGCAACAAGGCGTCGATATGTCCCATGTTTCGATGAGCAAGTCTTATATCGTGCTCGCCGGAATTGAAGGTTACTCCAAAACAAAACGAAAGGCACATGCTGTACATGAGAAGGTCGACACTTCCAAGCAAATGTTGCATCAATCCCGATAGTGAAGGCGAGTACACATGAGTTCTATTCCTTCATATCATAGCGCGCCGAATGAGATACCCCGATTATCGTGCTACTTGCTGTGTAACTGCTGTCGACATGAAAAATTCAGATTGTAGACCAAGTCTTGTCACTCGGGTTGCACGGCTGTCACATATGCGAACAATATGTACGGAAGTCCATCGTGTTATGCACGGCCGGAGAACACAGTCACAGAGCTTAGACATAGCGACTTTGCGCAGCAGAAGAATAATCGGGGTTGTGATAGGCCGGTCGCAACGAAGGCTTCAAGGTATCTCGCAAAGCAGGCCTTGCGCAAGTGAAAATCCAATCCGGCAAGGACGATCTTATAGTCCACGATTCCATGCATTCTCCGAGCATTGGACTCAGTGTCAGCATTACACATTGAGAGGAGATCAATGCCCTTGGGATGAACCTTAGAATGCCAAAGAGCGTGTCATCTCAAACTTGTGGGGGGCAAACTCATGGAAAGGCCATCTATCTGGGCAGGGAAATGATTCTTCGCAAAAGATCTGCCCAACCCCAGCGTCTGGAGAGAAAAAGCAATGGCAATGTTCATCCATTGCCGTGGCCAAAATGGCTAATTGCATCGTGTGATATCAGTTGATCTCCGAGTCGGGCCCATCATGGACGGATCGGAAGGTCCACTACGCCGATGGGCAGTACGCGAATTGCGGTCCTGTACGCAACAAGACGTACAACATACATGTAGACATTTACAAGATGTTCAACCACTTGATTTTGTGAACAAAACCGCCTTGAAGGCTCCGCCCAATTGGGAAACTTTCCAAGGTTGGAAATGTCCGTGACTTACATAATTTGAGTGCAATCCCGTGGTCGGAATCCCGGGGCAAAAATATCCGTGAATTCGTCAAGTAGACTCGTGAACTGGTAAAATCTGCATCCAACCAATATAAAATGGCCAAGTCCAAAGCAGCGAAGCGCAAACGCAACGCACAAGTCGACCTTCCACAAAAGCTTCCAAAGGCAGTGCCGAATCTGACACCCCCTCCCGATGGCGTCCCTCTCGAGTCCACACATCTCAATGCCGTCGTCTCAGACGAGGAACTCGAGATCACAATCGAGACGCTCACAGCGCTTGCACAATATCCCGGCCTGACAAAGTCGAAGGCATGCAAGGATCTCCGAGTCGCAGTCTACGATTTCCGCCAGACATGCACTACGGGTGTTAACACTGCCGGTACGCTGCGTTGTCTCGCTCACACACTGTCGCTAACCATCCGATAGAGGGCGCCAACTTGACAGCCCGAATAACCGGCACATTGGCGGACGAGAAATACATTGAAGCCAAGATATTACTTGCCGAGATGAGGATTAGGGGGGAACAACCCAAGATCGGAGCCTTGTGTCGCTGGGTACGAGATTTGGATGTCGTCAGCGGCCTCTCCACGCAGCCGAAAGCACACGATCATGTTCCCGTCAAGCGCAGTGCGAAGGAAATGGAGATTCTCGGCGTTCTTGATGCCATCCTGCGCGTCAGCACTCCGGTTGACACCAACACGAATGCCGTTGACTCGACCAATCCCATTGCCTTCCAGTCCATTTGGGACCTGCGCCCTTCGACGACACCACTCCCGATCTACGCCTCAGTCCTCGACGGATCAATTTTGGACGAGGCGCCCAAGTCTCCGTCCGCCCTCCGCATCATCGAACAAACCCCTGGCCCACTACGCAAACCCCCGAACCATCACCCCGCCATCCTCTATACCACCGCCCCGAACGCCGTCCCACTGGCCCCGGTCGGTCCTTCCATAACATACCACCCACATCCCGCTGTGCCAGGCCTCGGCCTTGCTCTCAATGTGCTATCCCCCGCTGAGTGCAAGGCGATCATCGCTGCCGGTGAATCTGTCAATTTCCTACCGGACGCGCCCCTTCGTGAAGACGGAGACATCAGCATCCTGGCCCACAACTTTTACTGGATCATTGACACCACATTCCACGACATGCTTTGGGCGCGAATTTCCCCTTATGTACCGCCCTCGATCAACGGTCGCAAGGTCCGAGGCATCAATCGTCGCTTCCGTGTGTACAGGTACGTTCCTGGAGCCGAATATCGTTGTCACATTGACGGAGCTTGGCCGCCATCCGGTATTCTTCCTGATGACACATACGTGTACGACTCTTCGCCCGAGGACAAGAAGCAGAGCTCGATGTACACCTTCCTACTATATCTCAACGATGAGTTTGAGGGCGGAGAGACGACGTTCTTCATGCCAGCCCCACGGGAGGGGACCCTCAATGGGTACCCAGTACGACCTGTGATGGGAGCTGTTGCGATATTCCCACATGGGGAGTCGAATGGAGCCTTGCTCCATGAAGGTACAGGGGTGAGAAAGGGGGCAAAATACATTATTCGGACTGACGTAGAGTATGATGTGAAGCCTTCCGAAGAGTGATGATAAAATATACGAATTATGTAGACTTGGCCTTATGCCATCAAAACGACAGTCCTCGAGTGTTACAAGGTAAGTATCTTGAAGATCTCAGTGAAATAACAACTTGAAGGACTGTTAGTATTGATTGAATACCATCCCTTTTGCGTCAAAGTTCGCTTGAACTCATGGCACTGAGCGTCTTTATAGGAAATAGGTAGATGTTGTGCCTTGAAATGCCAATCAACACTACAAGATGGAGTTCTTTTGCTTCCATGTGCCCCAGAATGTCCCCATTGGGAATCGCAGAGATATACCACATTAAATATGAAGTTGCAAAGGGAGAAATAAAATAAAAAAATAATAGAATGATTATATAAAGATTTAAGATCATATTTACAATATTCCTTAGCTCACCTGGTCCCTAAGTGATTCCGGTCCCTAAGTGGTTCGGAGCATCGGTTCTCACGCCTTGACCTCTTCACTGAGGACAACAGCATTGGCGGTATTACCACCACAATCAGAGTTCGATTCGCTCGCCTGAATTGCACGTCTTTGCATAGCGCGGGCTACACGCGGCGGATCGAAGATAGATTTGGATTGTGTGAAGATCTCGTCGATCTCTTCCAGTGACCGTCCCTTGGTCTCGGGGAAAAAGAAATACACAGTGGGCAGGATAGCAGCATTGACAGCAGCGAAGATGATATAGTACCGGTTTCCGATCGTGGAGAAACCGACCGGAGTTACCTGAGCTATCATAAAACTGAAAGCCCACACGGTGGCAGTGGATACCGCGTTCACTGCGGCGCGGACCTGAAGAGGTGCCATTTCGGCGGCGTAGAGAAAGGTTAGACCGCAGAAACCAACAGTGAAAATGAATTGGAAACAGTATAGGAAGACCACTGCCATGGCGAGAGCTCCGGTGTTATTGACTGCAGCGGGGGAGGTCGTGCCAGCGAGGCCTGCCATACAGACGGTCATGGCTCCAGCACTCCACAACATGAGAGGGCGGCGGCCGAGACGGTCGATGGTGAAATAGGCGATGTAACCACCGAGGGGTTGCATCATTGTCATTGCAGCAGCGAGGACCCGAGAGTCCACGGCGTCCATTCTAAGGTACTCCTGGAAGATAGTTGTCGCGTAGTAGGTGATCAGATTCACACCACACATCTGCTGGAACATCTGGCCTGTGGCAGCGAGGTATGCACGGTGAAAGAGTCGCTGCTCGCCGTTTCTGAACATGTCCGTCCACGATCCCGGGCAGTATGCAAGAGATGCCTGGATGCTAAGGATGTTCTCATTAACACCATCCGAATCCTCATCGAGATCGAGCAATGCCGCGAGTACTTTGCGCCCTTCCTCCACCTGTCCGTCCTTGATAAGCCAGCGAGGCGATTCTGGCAACATCGCGATGAAAATCATGGCAGTGACAGGCATAACGATTTGGAAGGCGAGAGGAAACCGCCAAGAAACGGAGTTGTCTTTGGCGAAATAGAAACCCAAATCAATCCATAGGGCAATAGTCACACCAATTCCAATAAATATGCCATCAGTGACGACATTGGATCCTCGCTTGTGCGCTGGCGAGATCTCCGATTGCCAGACCGGGACCGTCGCGATATATCCACCGATGCCCAAACCGAGGACCAGTCTCGCGACGATAAATTGCGCAAAGTCGAAAGATGCTGCCATAAGGATGGCACCAATGATACTGACGAAGTTGGTTATGAAAATCACCTTACGTCGGCCCCAGAGGTCACCAAGGTAGATGCATGATAGCGCGCCAAATATACCTCCGACCGTATAGAGGGCGATGACCGTGCCTGTTGGAAATTCGATCAGTTGGAAAGCAGCAATAAATTGCCGGATAGTGGTGACCAACCTTGCATTTGTGAGTTCTCTGTCTTTTGTGTCCCCTGGGTATGAATTGTGTCCATTCGGGGAAATTGCGAATTGAACGCGTCAAGTGTTAGAAGACCACCGGTCACTCCCATGTTGTATCCATAGCACGTAAAGGTTGGACACACGACCAAGAAGAGGGCGGCGCGGAGAAGGGCATTTCCTCGAAGGCCAAAATACGGCTTCGAACCCATATTGACGAGTGAGACACCACCATGTACAATTCCAATTAGGTCAAAAATTAAAGTTGGGTAAAAAAAAAAAAGAAAATTGAAAAACCGAGGCGGTGGCAAGAAATCTTTTTTTTCTGATTGATTCCAATCTTGGGAGGTCCACGTCGAGTACCTATTAGCATCCATCTGGTCTTCGTTTGTGGGCCCTTCCATTTGCACTGTCGTGTGCTCGCTTCTTGGTGGATCCCCAATGTATGGGGTTTGGGTGTACCTACGTTTCCATATGAGGCGGGCGTTAACCCATCAGTTATCGTACTTCCCACAAATGACCTCGGGATAATACATGTACCGGACAGTCAACTCTGGGTTCACGTTGACCCCTACCTACATATGTAGGTACATATGTACCTAGGTAAACTTTGATATTGATAAAATTGAACCTTGGAACCTCGGAAGGCTGATAAGCTTCAAAGATAAGCTTGATAAGCTTGATAAGCGCCCTCCCCACAAAATGGGTGTCCCAGGATAAGGCATGGGAACCTGAATTGACCTTGAACCCAAAAATTGCTTTTGGAGCTGCGCCGAGAAGATAGACTACATTCCCCCCTCCTCCCTTTTCATTGAAAACCTCGTTTGAGACCGGCTTGTTTGACTGTGCTCATCTCTGACTATATATATGTATATACCCTGTGGCAAAGTGTCCAGATGTCTGACATCCATACGCGTATGCATGCTTTAATGGGAGGTAGGAGAAGAGAGATAACTGTCTCTATTCATGATTTAACTACTGCCATGAAGCTCTCTAACTAGCTTCATGGGGACGAAGTGACAAAGGCACAAAGTCCTGAAAGCCAGAAAGGATCTGACAGGGACAAGGAAAGGCCTGACAGGTTGCATGTAAGCAATGTCTCACTGTGTCAATGTATCATTACCCGATTCAAACAACTGGCCATCCACTGGAAAAGTCGATCTTGTTCCAACCGAACAACTTCTGGTTATCGGCGTAACCGATAGTTGTGTCCACATAGTGATAGTACAGGACAGGACCAAGACTGGAATCGGTAAAGACACCCCTGAACAAAAGTAAGCAACGTATCTCAGGAAAATTCTGGACCAAGAGCTGGAAACTTACTGTCCCCGGGCCCGTAAACATTGCCGTGGCTTTCCAGCACAACTGTACCTCCTCCATTGGTGCAGGCAACACCGGATTTGTCCACCTAGAACGAAACTGTTAGACCGAATTTACACTGGCAGAGGGTAAAGCACATACGAATCCGCTCGTTGGCGATGTAGATCGGCAGACCTTGATCTTGTACTCTTCGCCGCTGGCAGGGCGAGACGTATCGAAGCCACAGCATGTTCCCGCAGAGTAGAAGAGGTAGTAGTAACTGCCATGCTTGTACATGTAGGCACCCTCAACCGCATGAGTTCCCGACGGGTCATAGGCCACATTGTAAGATGAAGATGCAACTTTGGTGGCAGCTGAGTTCATAGGAGCTTGGTAAATATTGTGCCAGAAAGAACCAAAGTTCATGTAGTAGGAGCCACCATCATTAAATAGGTTGGCATCGATAGCATTGTAGTTCTTGGAGGAGGAGGACAAGATTCCAGTACTCCCGTGGTCAGTCCAGGAACCCGGCTCCATGGTCGGGGAAGTGGCTACGCCAATCGCCGAATTCTGTGACCCGAATGTCGAGACCGTGTAGTAGACATGGTAAAGATCATTGACGAGCTGAGCATCGGGTGCCTAAGCAGAGTTATATCAGTACAGGTCTAGCAAGGCATTGGGTGTGACTTACCCAGAGGTCATCACTGCCAGCAAGGTCAACTGAGGACCCAGCAGGCAACATAGAGCCAATATTTGTCCATGGCCCGTTGATGGAGGTTGCACTCGCGTATGAGATCTTGTTACCAGTGGAAAACCGGAAGTATCGCTTGTCAGACGAGCGTTGGATCAAGGTAGGGTCATGCACGTTGCAGGCCCCTGAGCAGCTGCCAGGATTGGCGTATGCATTGGCAATAGCTGTAAACAGCACCACCGGGAGTGTAATATCGGCGAAATACCTCATGGTTCGATATTTACAACAGTGATGGAAACCAATATTGAGTTGTTAGCCAAGGGAAATCCAGGGTCTATTTATATTGACAGGTGGAAACGATAAATCTGCGGACGACTCATGGACATCGGAGCACGTTTACTCAAGATTCCGCGGACTGCCAAACTGTACGATTTCCCATTGTTATTATGCGCTAGAGCCATGTGATGTGGGAAGGTTCCCGAAACATTCATCAGCCAACAGGGGCAAGATGGGACTAAACCGTGGGTTACTCACCGATTGGTGGAATTACCATACTATCTGCAGATATCTGCGACGAAACCTCGTCAGGGCGCCACTAACCGGGTCTAAACCAAGGGGTGCAGGACCGTCTGCTGGGGTTGTCAAACACTAGCTGAGACACCACTATGCGACGAAACACTCCAAGTGCGCGCCCCCCGGGCTTCAAGTGGGTCCAGACCTCAGATACCTGTTAGTAAACCCTTGCCAGTAATTACCACAACTTAGTAACCTGGCGAACAAAACGCCTGGGTCTAGTATTTTTAGACCACGATCCTACTTTGCTGTATTTTGGACAAACTATATTGCCGATGCGCACCCCCTGCTAGTACAATTTTATATGTATAAATAGGGCTGAAATCAAGGTACCGATCCTTCTCTCGTCATTGGTTGGCTTTTCTTCACTTCATCTTCTTTCTTTCTTTCTTTCTTTTTTTTTTCCTTTCCCTTTTTGATATTGTGGTAGATGGACCTGGGTGGAACCCCTTAATCTCCCTGTTAAACAACATAGGGAAACAATATGTAATTTGGGCTTAAATACATGTGTAGGTACCATTCAGAAAGTAATGCTCGGAATGAGATCGTCAGCCCTACAAGGCGATGCCAAGCCGTGGAAGAGGGTTTTATTGGAAGCCAGTCGGGGTCTTCCCTAGTTTCTCTCGCCTGCGTGCTCTTTTTGCTATTCTCTTTCCACTTCCTGGATTCCCCCGTACTCTTTCTTGTCTGTTGTTTCTTCAGATTTTCCTTCCCCGACTACAGGTGTACACAGTAGTGGCAAGCATCCAGGTATGTGGATTGTGCTTTCTACTATAGACTCCTATTGGGGGGGCAGTCGAAAGCCGCCATGGGTCCAAATTTTGGTTGTTCTCCACTTGTTGATAGATGAAAAATCGTCAAAATTGCTTGACCGCCTCAAATTAGATGAGCTCCTTCGACAACCTTCCAACTTCCAATGTTCCGGGATTGGAAGGAACAAAAAAAGAAAGAAAAAGGAAAAAGGAAAAGAGAAATGTCGGCATTAAATCGGCAAAATCGAACTTCAAAGAGCGCCCCCAATGCTTGGCATACGCAAAACAGGTCAGGCAGCAGCATTTTGCGAGTTGTGCATCTCGTGATCGATTAGTATGTTGACATATTCACGTTGCTGACTTCAGGAACCTGCCAAGGAACTGAAACTGAGCATTGCAGAGGTCTCTTGCCGACCTCACCATCTCCAGCCCTGCAAAGTAAGCTAGAGAGGGTGTTACTTTCATCCAACCAGATCGACAAGGCTGGCCTGGGATCTGTTCAATTGTGTGTCCCGGTAGGGTGTAAGCGGCAGACAAAATAATTCGCGTTCTTGGGGGGATTTGCCAATGACCTTGCACAGACAATCCTAGAACGGGAGTATCTTGTCTCGATCAACTGTCAGACAGAATATAAACGCCCGTGCCAACATTGCATTCGCCTTGGATTATTGAGAAAGATGAGAAAAGATAAACCGACCATAAAGCTATTTTGGGCCGCCCCCCCCCCCCAAAAAAGGAATCAGCTGCGGTCCTACCATTCAGGACCTTCAGCCGATCGAGAGATTTCCAAGGAATTATTTTCGTCCCAATCAACCTCGGAATTCGTGGTTGGTCCGAACTGCGGGTAAAAATGCGCAATTTTAGTCTGTTGGTGTTTCATCAAAGATCTTATTGAGATAGATCTATTGATACCTTTAATAAGCATCTCCCCGAAGAGAAGCCTTATCATCCTTGACTCTATTAAGAATAGCATTATGAAGCTATATCTTGCTAGAATTTATAAGGAGAGAATAGAAAGACTATATCTCTCACTTGTCTCTCAATTTTCTTTGAGAATACTATTGGATAGTATATCTCACTTGGATTTGTATATCTCTTTAAAGGGGTGCATCTTTCATTTCTTTATCACTCTTAATAAAGAAGCTTTGTTATAGTATCTCATATTAAGAACTGTATCATCCCGAGGTCGGGCAACACCTGGTTTACTGCTCGACCCCCACCGATCCCGTCGGCCCCGTCGGCCCCATCGGATCTTGCTGCATATACGTGTTGTTGATTCTGCATTACCTTGGATTGGAAATATCCTCTTTCACAAGCGTGCTCTCTTCACATAAGGACGAAAGTTGCGGCAAAGTAAATGGCTCATGAAATAAAGGGGAGAAACGAGGGCCTTGTAACCTATTAAGGGCTACGATACTAGAGATCTAGTGGATACTAGCATGGAGGGGAAAATCGGGAAGAAGAGAGGTGTGATATGAAATCTATAGAGAGCAGGCTGTATATAAGCCTAGGCTAACAAAGAGATAAAGGAATGACAAACTAGCAAACTGATAAAGCAAAGGCTCGGTCTACACAAAGAGATAAAGACATGGGAAGACATCCCATATATATCAACAGATACCACCTATCCACTAAGACTGTTAGTAAATGATCCGTAACTAACTAGGCTTTCATTTTCACTTACTAACAATTCTAGTATTATACCTAAATAGGAAGCTAGCTATATAGATAAAATATCTAAAGAAATACACACGGAAGGCCCCGAGCCTAGTTCCTAGTAACCCTATGATATACGACGTAGTACTTATAGACTACAAGACACGGAGGGAAGAGAGGATAAAAAACTTTAAGGGGTAAAAAGGAAAAAGCACTAAAGCGTATCTCGAAGCCTTCAAATCTAAACTCTATAAAGGCTGATTATCCGATTCGTATCCTATAAGGTCATATATAGCACGTAACCTATAGTTTCGCATACGCTATAGCACGCTATAGCCCCAAATATCCTACCTATCATTAAACAGGAAGACCAAAGGTCTAAAGAGCTAAGAGGATACCAGACAAATAAGAAACGCCATGTGGCATTTCGAAATTGGAATTTTACCGATAGATCTAAATGCGTACTTGATTTCCCAAAGCAACTACCCAGACTGGCTTTCATTTTCGGTTTTAGTGCTCCTGTCCTTGCCGCTTTTGGCTCTCTAGGTAAGTCTGAGCACGCGGGGCGCGCTCTGACTTCGTTGATCGACACGCCTCATATCAGGTTACTTGAAGCTCCTTCAGGCTCAATGTCTCCTCTTCCGCTTTCTTGAGGTAGCCTTTCCCCAGAAAGTGACTAAGCACCGGAGTATAGTCAAAAATCAAATCACGAATGTTGGCGAGGGGCCGAGGCACGGAGTGGAACATCCTGCCAAGGAAACGGGCAAATTCCATGTTATGATTGACATAGTCAACTCGTTGGTCCTCGTAGATCTCAAACGCAGCGCTGACTGCCAGTGAGTCACGCAGGTCGATGCCGTCGAGCGCTTTGGCAAGAAAATAACCATCCTCAATTGCCATGCCCATACCATATGCTGCATATGGCGATACAGGATGCACGGCATCACCAACGCATACGACCCTTCCAGCGGACCATTTTTTCATAGAAGGTCGATTAAATATTTCCCATCTATACACTTGAGTCTTGAAATCGGTGGCTTCTAAAAAGCGAGGCATCGGTTGTGCCCAGTCCTTGAGAATTCCGGTGAGATGCTCTTTGGGATCATCTGGGACCGGCTTCCCATCCCACGATGGTTCGACCACCCACCACTCGAATCCTGGCTTGCCCTCATGAAGCATCGGGAAAAAGCTAGCCTGGTATTGCCAGTCATGCGAAATGACACCATGGTTGTCAGGGATACCCGGTATATGATCGCACCAAGCAAGCCAAAGACGAATTCCGGTGTGAAAGAGATGAGGCTCACCAAACGCTTGTCGAGAGACCTTTGAGCGAATTCCGTCCGCGCCAATGAGAATATCTGCGGTCAACTGTTGACCGTTTGCGAAAGAAATATCGATGCCGTCGTCGCGCTCCGTGTAAGAAGTGAACTCATGATTGGCATGAATAACGCCTTCCGGGACAAGCTCCAGCATTTTTTTGAAGATTGATGAACGGAGGACGCCATAGTGCCAGCCTTTGATACCCATACGCTTCTCAACCTCCGCATTGAATGGCAGCTTGACGCGTTCTAGCCCCTGTTTATTCGCGAAGGAGGTGACGGTGTATGCACCGACGTTGTCCAAGCTTAAGCCATAGCATCGCAGGATGGCCAAAACGGGAGTCGACAGCAGGACCGCGCCCCCAATTGCTTTGCATTCAGGCTGCCGCTCAAACATCTTCACATCGTAGCCTCGTTGAATCAAGGCTAAGCCACTTGAGATCGAACCGGGGCCTCCTCCAACAATGGCAACACGTTTCCCGGGTCGCCAGTTCGGAGAGGAAACCATGAGGAGCCCTTGAATTGATACAAGATCTCTGATAAAAGGTGAGTTGATAAAAAGAAGGTAGAGAAAATTGGAAAAATATAAGCAGGGCGGCACGTTGGGAATTTAAATATTCGAGATTCTAAGGACGGGGTCACCTTCTAACTTTTCGTGGACAATACGAATAATTTCTATAAAAATCCCACATACCGAAGGTCCACATGAACGGCCCACTGCCCCGTATCTTGGTCCGCTTACTAACTTTTAGAAGTTCAGGGGTCGGCGGGTGTATCCCCACGAAATACCTTAGAGTTCCCACCTGGCGAGGCCTTTTCCTTTTCTTTTTTTTTGGGGGGGGGGGGTTCTATCGTAGATCTGTACGGTGCATGTGAGGCTGAAACTGTGCGTTTAAGCCCTCGGGTGTGTGGACCGCCCGATCCGAAGTCCATGCGGGATCAACCCCAAATCGACAGGCCCATCTGGGCTTAAATAATGGATACAATATAACAAGATCACAGCGGCCAACAGTAATGCTGAAGACATTTTGTGATCGCGAAATGGTAGGTTGAAACTTCTCAATATGCACCGGACACTGGAACTCACAAGTTACAGCACCGACCGCAGTGCACTTCTTTTTCACATGGCTCAACTATGATGTCGGCGAGGAGTCCTCGTCGGCTACCTACTGTAAGAAATGCGGCGACGAGGCTCTCGAGCATGGAATTAAGGGGATCGTTATCTTGGTACGCATTGACATCCAAATGAAATCCTATCTGATCGCGCGCAGTCCATCCTAACTATCGACTCAACGTGGGTGGCTCATTAGGATTGCTCTGGGGACCAAATCCAGATATCCACTTGCTCAAACCCCAGAAAAAGCCCAGTGTGATCCCAGAAGTCCCCTTTCTTATGTAAAACTGTCTTATGTCTCATTGGACGGCCCCGTGTGGAGCCGTTCCTACACTTATATACACTATCGTTTCCGTACTATTCAGTACTTAGTCGTTAGTGACCCTAATATAAAAAAGATCATACGATCCTTTCCGAATCTTATCTAGTAGTATATCGGTATAAGCCACCTTCTATAGTCGGCCTAGGGAGGTATAAGATAGCACCGCCTATATCTATATAAGATAGATATAGTATCAATCCCCTCTTATCCTATCCTAATAACGATCCTATAGACCTTAGATACTAGGTAAAGAAAGCTTATAGAATATATCGTTTTCCTCCCTCTATCCCATGGGGGTGGGCGCAGTCTAGTAGACTGGAATTAGGACTTTGGCTTAACTATGGGAGGAAAAGTGGGGCCATGAGTAGACTAGAATACTTTTTACGAGTAGACTGGAATTCCTTCTCGTACGAGGATCGGTCTGAAAATTTGTAGAGATCTATTCTATATCTTAAAGAGTATAGTATTCGAATTTTAGAGTTATTGACCTAGAAATAAAGGTATGGTAGCCGATTAAAATTTTGAATTATTTTTAATAGGGTACGACTGTATAATATATCAGGATATATTCACTACTATATATTAAATATATATTCTACTAATTCTACTATTTTGTATAATCTAACCACTTTAAATTAATAGGTAAATTTCGTATAAATTCATTTTGAATATACTAACTTCGTATAAATTTATCGTGAACCTATTCCTAGCTTCTCTAGGATTCTCCTTTTTCTATCTAAAGTCTTTATTTTATAGCCTCCACTTCGTATAAATTTATTATAAACCTATTCTTAGCCCCTCTAGGATTCCTCTTTTTCTATCTATAGTCTTTATTTTAAAGCCTCCACTTCGTATAAATTTATCACTAACCTATTCTTAGCCCCTCTAGGATTCTTCTTTTTCTATCTACAGTCTTTGTTTTGAAGCCTCCACTTTGTATAAATTTATTATCAATATAGCCTTAGCTTCTCTAGGATTCTTCTTTTTCTATCTATAGTCTTTATTTTAAAGCCTCTACTTCGTATAAATTCATTATAAACCTATTCTTAGCCCCTCTAGGATTCTTCTTTTTCTATCTATAGTCTTTATTTTAAAGCCTCCACTTCGTACAAATTTATTATTAACATAGCCTTAGCTTCTCTAGGATTCTTCTTTTTCTATCTATAGTCTTTGTTTTAAAGCCTCCACTTCGTACAAATTTATCACTAACCTATTCTTAGCCCCTCTAGGATTCTTCTTTTTCTATCTATAGTCTTTATTTTAAAGCCTCCACTTCGTATAAATTTATTATAAACCTATTCCTAGAGAAGCTAGGCTTCTTCTTTTTCTATCTAAAGTCTTTGTTTATAGCCTCCACTTCGTACAAATTTATTACCAACCTATTCTTAGCCCCTCTAGGATTCTTCTTTTTCTATCTAAAGTCTTTATTTTAAAGCCTCCACTTCGTACAAATTTATCACTAACCTATTCTTAGCCCCTTTAGGATTCTTCTTTTTCTATCTATAGTCTTTATTTTAAAGCCTCTACTTCGTACAAATTTATCATTAATTTCTTCTT